AATTAACTCTTTATTTTTAAACTCAGTTTTCAAGTCCTCGATCTGATAGTGATGTCGATTGAGTTCCTCCTCGAAGTCGTTGCGACTCTTTCTGAATGTATAGATTTGGTGATCGATTTCCGTCTGTTTCTCCTGTAATGTAGTCTTCAATTCTCTAATTTCATTGTCTTTCTCCTCACAAACTCTGTCTAATTCTTCTGTTATCCGATTTCTTTCCAATTCATACCTAAAATAATGCCAACATTTATCATATATACTGACGGATAAGACTATTAGAAAATTAATTATAAACTCTTTTGTCGCAAAATTGTTTGGTATTAAATGACTAAAACTTTAAATATATTTAAATACTTTTAAAATATTTTGCTTTAAAATGTTTGGCTTAAATTTAGTTAAATATTTTAGTTTATACCGGTATACAATGTATACAATGTATAAAATTGGTGTTTTTTATTTGTTTTATTTAAGACTTATTCTATGCTTTAATTTCTAATGAATTTTACTGAAAAGAGAGAAACTATTTTATTATTGAATGAGAAAAATTACAAATTCTTTGAAGAATCAAAACCTTTTATTTATTCATAACAAACAATATTTACATTTTCAATGCGAAAGAGGGTTTGAATTGACAAACATTTCATTTAACAAAACAATTGATTACATTCTCCGCTAATTATCTGCAAAAATAGTGGTAAAAACAAGAAGAGATTGAAAATGCAAACCACAAGAGGAAAAATGCTTCTTTGAATATAAATAGTGTAAACATTTGCTTTAATGAACGCTAACTTTAAGACAAATAAAACATATTAATTAGAAAAAAATACTGAATAATCAAAAACTTTTGGCATTTATGCCCACATTTTAAACGCATATTAATATAATGTTTTAAAATATGGTAAAAAGAAGAGGAGAAATGAAAACTTACTTTTCCAGCTCTTCCTCCAAGTGTCTAATCTTGTGCTGAAGACTAGCTCTGGTCTCGGCTTCGAGTCCTTGTTTTGCGTTAGTTTTGATATTAGTGTTCACTTTATCGACAATTATTTTGTTAAAATTTGGCGAATTGTGTATCGATTTTTTGTTCACATTTTTGGTGTTAGCGTTTGTGACAACATTTTTAGCCAATTTTGTACTACTTTTTGATGATTGATCTCTTTTTATCGGATTTGTTTGTCTGACACTAATCGACGACATATTATGTTTGATGCGTTCAAATAATTGCTTAATTCACACATCAAGTATATACACAATTTTAAACATCTAGTGTAAATTATTGTTATCTAGTTTAGTCTGTTTTTCGCTCGACAAACATATTTATACAGATTTTATGTAAAAATGTGTGCTTTTTATGTCGATAACGACTGGGTTTACGCCCAGAAACGGATATTACATTTGATTTCAGTACAGAATTTTCTACATTAATAAATACTACAAACATTAGCTTTTATTCTCTCTCTCTCTCTCTCTCTCTCTCTCTCTCTCTCTCGAATACTAAATTCATTAAAAATAAATTATTAATTACACTAAATAGTAGTTTATTTATTACAAAATATAATATAATAAATTAAATTTATGGCACGTCTAAAATTGACTAACTATATTCAAATGAATTTATTATATTTTACAATATATCAATGATTATTACTAGAGTACATTTTTTCAGAATTTGTTAGTATTGTAAATTTGCCTCAATGGGGATTGCTTCTGTATTATTTAAAATTAATTATTACAAATCTAATTATATATTACAAGTAAATGAGCAAAACATTTTATTTTAATCGTTAGATAACATAATCATTAGATTTATACTGTATTTAATTTAATGATTGTTTAGCAATGAATACACAAGTATTAATATTTAAGACAATATGTAAATTATATTATTTATTCGGATTATCCTTAACTTATTTTTTCTGTTGAATTGGTTTTACATTAACATTGTTTTTGGTTTTATTGACCACTACTTTATCATTGACCTTATTGTTGAGCCCAACCGGCGATTTCTGCGGACCATTCACTGGACTCTTCATTTTGTTAGCATTCAATGCATTCAATGGCGTCCTAACAGTAGGTTTAGGCGTATTAACAACCGGTTGTTTCATCTTTTGCTTTAGTTTATTTCTTGCCACTAATTTTCAATAACATTTCCACATTAATTGCATTGTATTTAACGTTAAAATATTTATCAAACTTACTTTCAAAGCCAAGAGTCGGGCCATAATTTTTACACTTTTGTCTAATTATTTTCAATTCATTTTCAACGATCATGTGATCCCTTATTTTATACAAAACTCTGCGATCGATATAATGAATACAGAGAAAAATATATGGATTATGTGCTCAAAATAATTGCGAAATTTATTTTTTAATTTTTACTAACGATAGAAATCCCAGAATCAATAGTAGGGATGGTATTAATGCCAATATAAACAACGCGAACGGACCCATAATTAATACACAACTATAATAAGCAAATATACACCAGATTTTGATTCATTAGAGAAAAACAGTTTGAATTTAATTAAAATTTTTATTCATAATTTATAATCATGATTTAGTTAACAATACATTTCGCAATTCGACATGATGTTAATTGTTAATATCAACACAACTATATTTAAAATAAAGCCATTATTAATACACACATGTATTTATGTGCATATAATTTACGGGATTATTAATAATAATAATTTATTATCCATGCAAAACATTTTTACTATTTTGTAGCCGAAATTACGGGGTATTAAGTATAGTATAAATATAATTAAAAATTAGTTATTATTGGTGTCTTTATGTATATCTTTTCTCCATTTGGCAAAACCTTTCCAACCGATACACCAGTCGTATTGGTTCGGGTACTTGAAGTTAGTATCGTTGGCGAAAGCGTCGGCCGCCATATAAGGCCAGTGCGGGTTATTAAGGAAAGCCCGGCCGATGAATATGAGTGTCGCGCCGTTGTCTCGCAGGATCTGTTCGGCGAAGTGCGGGTCAGTTATTTTACCGACAGCTCCGGTCGGTATTCCCACCTCTTTTTGTATGACAGCCGCCGACTTGATGTGCACTTCATTTGTGTTGAGACAGTCGTAACTGACATTTGCGACCAAACCTCCGGAACTGCAGTCAAAGAAGTCGAGCGATAATTGTTTCAAACGTTTGGCAAATTCTAGGCTTTGTTTCAAATCCCAGCCGTTGTCGGCGTAATCGGCGACCGAAACTCTGGCGCCCAATACTATGTCGTCCGGCAGTGCTTTTCGCACACTTTCCGCGATCTCAAGACCCAAACGCATCCGATTCTCAAGACTCCCGCCGTAATTGTCAGTCCTTTTATTAGTGGCCGGCGATAGGAAACTACTTACCAGATAACCATGGGCAAAATGCAATTCTATTACCTGTAATAATGGCAACAAATAAATAATTAAAAACACTATTTAAAATGTCATATATTTATAAAACATAAAAATCAAACAAAACACACCTCAAAGCCTGCCTTAACGGCGCGAAGAGCCGCCGCCACGAAAGCACTCGTAATGTCATTAATGTCTTCAACGGTGGCCTCTTTAGGCACTTTTGTCACACCGGCGCCAAACGCTTCGGCGGTGGGGCCGATGGTCTGCCACCCGCCGTCCTTATCGGCAATTGAATCCCTGCCGATCCAAGTCGGGACAGTACTACCCTTGCGGCCCGAGTGGGCGATCTGTATGCCGGGTACACAGCCCTGAGACTTGAGAAAACGGGTCACCCGTTGCCAGGGCTCGATCTGTTGGTCTTTCCATAGTCCCGGACATTGGGGCGCAATCCTACCCCTGGCCTCCACACCAGTCGCCTCACACACCACAAGACCGGCGCCTCCCGTCGCAAACGAGCCGTACTGAACGAGATGCCAGTCGTTAACCATACCGTCTTCGCAGGAATAGGTGCACATCGGCGACACCACTATCCGGTTCTTTAGGGTTACGCCACGTATTTTTATGGGCGAGAAAAGTAGCGATTTGTTCCCAGAATTCATTGCAAAGTTATAAACGAGGTGTTTATTAAAGTGTAATTGAAGTGTTGGTAAAGTTAACACGAGTTGCAATTGTTTCAAATACTTTTGTACTTAAATCTTGTATATTTGTGAGCCTTTTATATACAAAAATATCAGTCAATAACCGTATTATTACACAACACTTGCAATCAATGTATAATACTTTTGGTTTTATGTGAAATACAATTATTGATAGGACAAGAACTTACTTGAAATTTATTATCAATCCTATTAAATAAACTGATATAAGACGTGTCAAAATGTATTATCAATTTCCTTAAGTGCTATGTGTCTAATGTCACAGGTATGACATCCAGGTATGTTTAGACACATACTCTGTGGTATACGTTCCAAACTGTTAATCAATTTTTAAGCCCAATTTTGCAGTGGTTATTAATTTTTAAATGTTGGTTTCGTTATAATAGTTTTGATATAATTCTTATTTTTAATTTATATTTAAACAAAATTTTGTGACATTTTTGTAAATTTTGTTAACAACGTTAAAAATTCGTTATTGATTTTTTTTACAAATTTAATCTCAATTTATTCTCAACCTTGAAAACAGTAAGAAATCCTACAATTATGCAATAAATTATAACTAGTAATCTGAGATTAATAATCTCTTAGATGGATTCTCTCTCTCTCTCTCTCTCTCTCTCTCTCTCTCTCTCTTTCT